TATAGCACCAGCTGTCCTGGAATTCACTATGTAGACCAGGCTGGCCTTGAATTCACAGAGATCCACCTGCCTCCACCTTCCCAGTGCTGGGATTAAAGGCGTGTGCCACCATCCCCAGCGCCATTCCAAAGATTTTTTAAAAAATATTTTTATTACTTTTATTTTATGTATATGAGCATATTGGCTGCATGTAGGTAGGTGCACCCATGTTGGGCAATGCATCTGGAGATCAGAAGAGGGTGGTGGATCTCCTGGAACTGGAGTTACGGATGGTTGTTAGCCTTCATGTGGGTGCTCGGAATCAAACCCAGGTCTTCTGCAAGAGCAGCCAGTGCTCTCAACAGCTGAGCCATCTTCAGCATTTTTAAGACCTGATTAATATTTTGTATTTCTAATCATCAGTGTTGAAAATGTCACTTCGCATAAATATGTAATACATGTAAGGTCAGAAGGAAAAAAGACAAAGGGACAGGCCTCAAGCACAGGCTTGATTTCAGAGAAAACCTGGGGAGGGAGTTTCTAGTATAAGAGCCTGAGCCTGCTCAGGGGCCGGGGCAGTCATAGGGCAGAAAAGGGGAAAAGGGAAGGAAACTGAATTTTTCCTTCTTTGACCTGTGGTCAGCCGTTGCTAGGGGTAGCCAGGGAGGTAGAATGTGTGGAAGATTCAAGAACATAGGACACTGATAAACAGCCCTTGTGGTCAGCTGTTACTGAGGGTCAACAGGGTAATAGAAAATAGAAAAAGAAGTTGGAACCAAGTTACTTTGGTTCCAGGATTTGTTACTGTTTAACCAAGATGGAGCACTGTATAAAATGGCACAGCTATGACGAACAGTGTGAAATGCAGAAGTGTGAGTAATTCTGTCATATTCTTGAGCCAGAATTTATTTGATGATTTTGTTGTTGTTGTTAAACTCAAGTCAGAAACTCAAACAGTAATTTTTAAAATTAAACATTTTAAGGCTGTGGTATGGTGGAACATGCCTTTAATTCCAGCACCGGGGAGGTAGGAACAGGTGGATCACTAAGGTTGAGGCCAGCCTCGTCTACATAGTGAATTCTGGGCCAACCAGGGCTATATAGTGAGACCCTGACTCAAAAGAAGGGGGGAGTGGGCCTGGAGAGATGGCTCAGTGTGCTCTTATAGAGGACCTGGGTTCAAGTCCCAGCACCCACATGGCAGAGAACAACCATCTTAACTCCAGTTCCAGGGGGATTTGATTCCTTCTCCTGAACTCCATAGGCATTGCACGACACTGGTACACTTAACATACATGCAGGCAATACACTCATACACATAAAATAAAAACAATATAATAAAATATTAGAAAAATAGCAACAAAAACATTCAAACACAATACAGTTCAAAGAAATACTAATTTGATACCTACTGCTGAAAAATGGTGGTAGGAAATTTTTAAGTCTCTGTGTTATACAATTAAATTAGTGTATATTCTCTATGAGCAGAAAATGTATGTCCCATGAAAACACCGCAATTCATAGCCGTCTCGAGTCTCAGCCCAAGTATCTCAGACAGCACTTGTCTGAGTTGTGGCTTGATGGCACATGCAGCACATGTTGTGTTCAGAACCCAGGCTGCAGTGAGGCATACCTTGCAACACAGGGTGAGCAGAGCACTACCAGAAACGCCAGGAATTCATTAGGCATTTGATTTGGTGGTAGTTTTTGGCAGCAGTAGATTGAGAAACCTTCTACTGTTATCAGTTTTTTTCACAACCCCCAAGTTATATAACTCACAGTTGAATACACTGTGTTCTAGAGTACTTACTGTGCTTACAAAGTATCCACTATGCTTCCCAGTTCCCTATCAGCAAGTTGGGTAACCTCTTCAGAGGATGGTGTGATAAGAATAGGAGGTAGGAATTGTTTAGGCAATTAGGGTAAAAAGACCCCAAAGAAAAGTAGCCAGTTTCTTAGCTAAAACTCACAATGTCCTTGGGCCTCTTAGCAACATACTCTGTTCCAAAGGCCAAAAATGTTGAAAGTATTTGGGAGCTTGTATCTAATCTGTAAAAGATTTTAAGATTACCTCTTCAGAGGGGGGAATGTTAGAGTAGCCAAAAGCTTCATAAAAATAAATAAATTAAAGAAGAAGGAAAAAAAAAAGTATCCACTATGTACCTAGCACCACACAAAAGTGTTTGCCATCCAAGAAAAGTGTCCAGTGAGCTTATTCATTTAACCTGTCCACAGCTGCTGACTCGGGATCATCTGTTCCCCTTAGGAAGGTGATGAGACAAAGTGGATTCAGCCCACCAGGGACTATGGACCAAAAACTCTCCCTGAAAATGATATTTGCTCTAGGATTTCATCAACCTTAAGATTTCATCAACACTTAAGTCATGCTGTGTAACTGTAGTCTTAGACTAAGTAACAAATAAATGCAACTGTAAAATATTTTATGTTTTGCCATCAGTGTTATTTTTATTAATGGTTTTTGGGTTTTATTTTTGCTTTTCGTTTATTTTGTGGTATAGTCTTTGTAGTTGACAAGTCTTCAGTGTCTCTTGATTACTTTCATTGTTCATTGTGGTCAAAACTGTAGTAAGATCAAAGAATTCAGTAGAAATTACTGCATGCACCTATGTCGTTGTTCTCCAGAACAGCTACAGACTTGATCACTGAATTAATGCAGGGAGAAAAAAGTACATTTCAAGAAGAAAGGACTAAGCTGAAAAATACCTAACTTTTTTCTGCTCTCGATCTAAAGAAGAAAGTAAGCATACTTTCATTGACATTTACTGTAGACACTGTTCTCTCAGAGAGATCACTGTTGTAAAACCCACTTCCATATGTTGTAAAGGATTAGAGTCTTATATAAATTTGATAAAAATATCTCTCAACAGTAGTATGTAGAATTTTTAAAGACAGAAAATAATAGCAAGAGGATTTCTATATCAAAACATCTACTGAAATTAAACTGTATTTTTAATTTGCAGAAAACACCACTCATATTAAGAATATTTCTGTGGATTTCCCACCGTATGCAATGTCTGCTCAGTTTAGTCTGTGAATTACCTTGTTTCAATCAAGAGTGAGAGAAACAGGCTGTCACCCTTCCATGGGTTCCCTGATTCATAACCCACACAGTGACCAGATATTTCGTTTAAAGAAACTTAAGTACTGTGCTCTGTCCCCCTGCAGTAAAAGTAGAGATACTACTAACTCCCGTCCTTTTAAATTTGGACAGTTTCCCCCGCTGGAATGTCAAATTAATGAGGTTGTGCTATAAAGAACTTGCTGTGAGACTGGTGATGATTATTTCAGACTTGTAAGTTTCCTGGCCAAGGTTTCAACTCAGACAGAGGAAAGTGCAGAGGCGCTGTGCGCTGCTTCCAGGCACTGTTCTAGGGGAGCTGTCGAGCAAGCCTCAAGATGGTGCAGAAATTGCCTCCCCTGGCTTCTGCCTCCTTTGATACATCTGTTTCAGCAACAAGAAATTTTAACTGCCTGCCTAAAAGTTCACTTTTATGGAGCAGGACTCTGATTTTTGTCATCTTTCCTCAGTGTCAGATGAATGGATATTTCCTGAGAACGGTGATGAGACTGTCGACCCAGCATCTGGCAGTGAGTCTCTGCTCCCAGATGGGGACTCATGCTCTGCTTCGCACCTGTGGCTAGAAACCAGCAAGGACAGTGAGCCTGGCCAGGCAGAGGAACCCCAGATGGCTCCCAAGGACATTTTCACTTTTTCATCTCGACCTCGATCAGCACCTCATGGGAAGAGTGAGTCCCCTGAGAGGCGTTCATTTGTTTTGGATCCACAAGAGGACCACAGAGTGACAAGGGGAGACACCCAATTGGAGAGTGATTTTTATGGCAGTGACAGCAGCGAAGAGGTACACGATTTGATGCATAAAATAATCTTAAAGTACAGTTGTTCCATTAGCTGACAAACACTAAAACTAGTTGGAATGAAAACGGGAAAATCAACTGCTATTTCTAAAAATGCAGCAGATTGCTGTGTCAGTCAACAGTCCCATCAGGTTGCTGTGGTAACGCGAAATTACTGGCTTTTTTTTATTATTAACAGCCAGTCTCATTTTTACTTATGGAAACCAGTTCTTCAGTTGTTTATTTTTCTTTTCATTTTAATCTCTGCCTCACAGAGTTAGAAATAACTGATAGTTGAGTTACAGGCCAGCGAGCACAGTGAAACTGACAGCAGCATGTTGCAAGTCTCTGGGGAAGTGCAGGCGCAGCTAAGCATTGCGTTGATGGTTTTCTGGCTTCCTTCCTCACCTGCCATCTTCTCACCTTAGACCTATTAGGACTCATTATTTTCCATATGGTCCCAGAATTTCAAGAGTTGTGCCAATTAAAGCTTAGATGATGAATCATGAATTAGTATTGGGACTTGCCTTACCGGAGGTGTTCTGTCTGGAATTATTTAGAATATAAATATGTTATAGTTAGTAAACTGATAAAAAAATTGTTGAAAATCAAGCAATATGGCTTAGATGTGATATATATATATATTTCTTTGTAAGCATGTACATGTGTATATATTCATGTATGCGAAGGTACACATGCATGTAGAAGCCAGAAAGCAATCTTTGGTGTCATTTCATTTCTTAGGCACCATCCACCCTTTTTTTTCTAGGCAGGGTCTCTTACTGACCTGGAGCTAAGTAGGCTATGCTGGCCAGTGAGCCCCAGGTATGTGCCTGTCTCTCCCTTCCAGCACACCTCCACACCCACCTTTTTTCATTATACTTGATTTATTTGTGTATATGTGTGTATAAGCTCCATGGTGTGTATGTGGAGGTCAGAGGATATCTTGCAAGAGTTTGTTCTCTCCTATCATGTGGGTCCCGGGGATTTGAACTCAGGTTGTCAGGCTTTGTGCTAGCGCCTTTACCCACTAAGCCATCTTAATGGCCCACACCCACCTTTTTTATGTGAGTTCTAGGAATCAAATTCAGTTCCTCCTTCTTGCAAGGCAAACACTGCCCATTTCACCATCTTTACACATATTTTATTAACTGTATTCCTAACAATGGCAGTTCATATTTGTTGAAAAAAATTTTAAAGCACAATGCAGTCAAGACAAGGTTCAGTTAAAAAATGCAAATACTTTGATACAGAAATCATAGAAATAATTAGAAAAACTTTTTTATATATGCTTGGGAAACTACTTTTAATAACTGTGCATGAGTAAGAATGCCCTGTGGACAGTGAGGTGTAGATTCGGTTCATACCTATGTGTAGAGTGAGTTAGAATATAGAAGATTGTTTGGCTCTTCAGCAGTAATTATGGGGTCTGCAGCTTTTAATGAATTTCATCAATAAAGTATGTGTAGGATCCTTTTCTCATAATTTCCTAGTTCTGAATATGCCAAAACAATTAGTAATGCTAAATACAAACCAACTGCTAATCCCTTTACACATAGTATATTTGATGCCATCATTTTAAATGTTGGTACCAGACACATCTGTCCCTTACACCCCCAAAAATATTAAGCTGTAGGAATTATGAAATGGACTTCTGTCTTTAGAACCCAACCCCACCACAGACATCAATTCCTCTGAGGTGTTACGTGGCTGACCTGATCAGGTAATTCATACCGTTTTTTAATACAAAGGATAAGCTCATGTCTTTCCCAGGAGCACACAGCACTATCTTTCTTCTCTGATCTCTGACCCACAAAAACTTTGACAGTCGAAGTTTCATGGCGATGAGAAATAGCAGTTCTCTGGGAAACAATGAGGGAGGCATGATGGGAACTACCCTGCAAATAACTACAGATGAGGGACTTAGCTTTTCCCTTTGTATGAAGGAGCACCTTTAAGTAAAGTGGCTTCAGGAAAAAAGGACGCCAGCTCTGTGTCACGTTTGCGTTTTCTTTTTCTGCTATCCTACTGACGTCTTTCAATGTCTGTTATACAAACAGGTTTATTACCTGCTACATGGACCTAAAATAAATTTGCCATGCCTCACCCCAAGCTCTTACGGCACAGTAGTCTGCTTACCCTGTGCCATTCCTGTCCAAACGACCGGTCCATATGGCTACAGTCTGTGGTGGGGCCATCTCATTGAAAACACTGCCTGCCTCACTGTTAGTCATAGTCCCACAAGAGTGCCACAGGGAAAGGGACAGAAACCGTGACAAATTATCAAGCTTTGGGGTTAGAGAACTAATAAAATAGAGACCAAGATACACAGTGTAACGAGAAATGCCAGGTCTAGAATGTGCCATAATCCCTTCTTTTCCCAAATTGAGTTTGTTTGTTTGTTTGTTTGGGGCGTTTGAGGTAATTTTTTTTCCTATAGGATAAATTCTCCTGGTTATTGATTGTACAAGATACGGGAAATTGAAATATGTGTTTGCAGTGTTTATTTACATGTGTCTCTAAAAAGTCATTTCAGTTCATTGAAGCATCATGCCATTAGCTACACAGTTTTGGAACATTACATCCATGGAATGATATGATTATAGTTAAGGAAAACAATGTTATAAGTAATAGTGGACAAAAAAGTAATAATTATATTTCTTATTGCACTTGCATCTTATAGCTTATAATTAAAAGACTGATGTTCAACAAGGATTTTTTCAGAAAAATTAGATAAATTCAGGAACATATAAACTAGGTAGAATCAAATTGGGTTTTTATAATAGGAGAAACATACATGGTCAGTAGTAAAGACTAATAAGCTTTCAGTGATATATTGTCTTCATAATTTAAGTACTACTAATTAATTCACATCTATGGTCATAATGTGAGAGTCTCAAAAGTATGAATTTGTCCATATTTTCCTTTTGTATTCTTTGCTTAGTGTATATTTTATTCCCCAGGCTGTCATATATACTAATATGCTGATACTCATTAATTTTGAAGTTGTACCTTTTACTTGAAAAGCACATTACAGAAATATATTTCATGACGAGCTATAAAATTGAAAGACCGTGAAATGAATTATGCTAGGAAAGCAGTTAAACTGAGGGCCTCGCATGGTGCCCCAGCTTCTGAAAGGAGAGCGGCTCCTGCTCCTGTCTGGTCGGTGTTTCATCATCACCCCCGGTGGTGACTCAGCGTACACCCCTGGTATGCAGTTTGAACTTTCTTTATATTAATGTTTGATTATTCCTAATTTAATTTTATCTAGAAATACAGTACTGTCACTTTCTGCCACCACCCCAACTCTGACTGAAGGTGATAATTTTAAAGCCATGTAACTCATCCTGTGCCACAGTCCAGACTGGGAACATGTGGCCTCCAAAATATCCATTTTGGACTTATTAATGTGGGCTGACTACCTGTCACATTCAGATTAGGAAGGAAGCTTCCACACCTTTCCATCCAGTGTATGGAAGTCTGAAAGGAATAAACATAACATGTAAATGACAGTTTTAAAGGCCTGCATTAGCCTTTTCATGGTACTGTTGCTTTCAAGGTATTTTTTACATTCAATAATTTAGCTATTTCATTTTGTTTTCTCCTGGGAGGATGTTTTTCTAGGTTAGACTATAAGACACTTAACTTCTGTATACCTAATTGATGGTTTGATTTTTTTTTCTTTTGTCTTTTTGAGACAGGGTCTCCATGTAGCCCCAGCTGTCCTGGAACTCACTATGTAGACCAGGCTGACTTTGAACTCAGAGAGACCCACCTGCCTCTGCCTCCTGAATGCTGGGATTAAAGGAGTGTGCCGATTTTAATTTGCTCTCTCACACACCTATATACATGCCACGGGAAGGTTATATTGTCTACACATGACTGCTTATATTTCTGTGTAGTCTTTGAAAACTTTTAAATGTCAGTTTATGCATTAGGAAAATGGAAGGACTTTTTAAAATATATTACCTCACATATTTATTCCTGTATTTTATGAATTACAATGTAATATACTCTCTAGAGTGACCGACTAGGCAAATGTAATATTTATTCTGTATGACTGGTCCTTTTAGCTTGTTCATATATACATGTCTTTATTGTTACCCAGTGAAGCTCTTTGAAAAAGCCACTAGCCTCTGGGTCCCTATGACTTGGTTATACACTGTTACAAGGCAGGTGAAGAGGCTATATATCACTTGTCTGCTTAGAAGCTAGCACTTTACCGTTTTTGTTAAAAGCTATAAATCTTGCTTGTAAACATTTGGTTTCAGACAGGACTTTTTTAAGAACTCTTTAAAGTATTGTCAATTAAGAATATGAAATCTAACTCATTGGAAAATATAGTTTGTCTTGAACAACTAGAAGAATCTCATTCCTTTCTCCAAGTATTCACGTGCAGATATTTTCCCATCCCATATAGTCACAGCCTCACAGCAGGAATTACAGGACTGTAACAGAAACAACTTTTCCAACCTAGTATCAGACATGATGAGGGTTAGTTACTTGCTAAGAACAGCCATGCCTTCTTTTTACTTTGTTTGTAAACTAGTAAAATATATAAGACACTACTATCATTTCCTTTTATCATGCACAGAGAGCTGTATTACTTTGATAGTTCCCTATTGTATCCAAAAAATGAAAGTACCTCTTGGGCATGGTTGTTACAAAGACATTTAGGTCACATCCCTAAGGCCAGTCTCGTCATCATCAAAGAAGTTGAATTTTTATTTTTATGACTGTCTAGCTATAGTTTGTGCAAATAGCTGTGTTCTTTCCTCAACAACATAAGTAAGTCTCTGCTACCTCTGCTGTTTGCCAGCCCTGTTATCCAGATGAAAGGTCCTATCAGTTAATACATTAAAGTGTTGGAAAAAAGTGAAAATCTGTGCTGACGTGAACGCAATTATAAATTCACAAATCCATCAAAGGTGTGCTTGGAATATTACAGATGTGTTTTGTTACAGAATTTTTTTTTTTTTTTGGTCTTTTTGAGACAGGGTCT